TTGACACAAGAGTTATGACAAATAGCACTAATTCGTAAAGTTGGCGTACACACGTATATATTTTTTCCTCTGTTGTTATAATCGCCAGGATAAATTATATATGTCAAAACGAGCTTTCGATATTGGCACAGGCACAAACTATAACAGTTTTTCATACATCGCAAAAGGAACAACACAACTACACAGCTGACCATACGATTATTAATTTCCCACTACTACGGCCTACATAAATAACTACAATTAAAACGATAGGAATCTTAAAAAGTAAAGTCATTCGTCATAATTCACTTTGATTTATTATGGCGAAACTCAAGATAAATACGAATGAGTCCAATATAACCCCAGCGCCTTGGTCTCTGCAATCCATAAATTACGTTCTTCTATACGTTTGCACATCATCTCAAAATTATTATATGTTATTTCCAACAGAGTCATTAATTTTGTCAGCAGCTCTCAAAATAATTGTTATAGTAAACAATATGCACAATATTCTACTATTACGATTTTCAGGTCTCTTATTACTGTTTTGTATAATTTTATTTATATGTAGGGGCAATGACAGTCTTCCATTACTTATCATAAATCCACATCGAAAGTTTTATGTTAAAAAACAAGCTTTGTATCGAATTATACGGAGTCGCGAGAATCCGGGAAAGTGGGACGAGAAGGACGGCAGCCTGGGAAAAAGGATGGGAAATTTGAGCGATTCCTTCCCTGCGTTCGACTCGTCTAGCCGGGGATTTCGCTGCTTTTGCAAAAATAAAGACGCGATCATTTTCCAATGCGTTCGGTTTTAATTTTATAGACGGTCGGATTTCGTAGCCTCCGTGCGAAACGATTCGAGGCCCTCGATGCCGTTATTAGCTCCATCCTGATTAAGACTACTTCCTCAAAAATCACAACACTACGCACAATCCCATTGACACACGCGCACACATTTTTTTCGGGATTTCAGTCTTTCAATACTCTTTTTTTGTTCAATCAATCACTTGTTCGTCCGTTCATTCTCTCCACCATTCCCAGACTATTCTAATCGTTTATTCGTTCACAAACCGTTCATCTACACTCTCAATCACCGAAATCTTCATTAAAAATTCAGGAATTAACTCATTAGTTCACTAAATCACTCACTTCTTCAACAAATGTGTCTGTTCATTTGTTTCAATACATCATTTTTTCGAATGACTCACACAACACGTTCGATAATCCATTCACTCTTTTGCCCATGAACCAATTCAACCAAACCCACTCAAGCAACCAGTTATTTTTTTTCCTTTTCTACAACACTCACATAAGCAGACACTCAATCGTTTAGCAGAACACTCACTAGCCCAACCATGCATTGACCCATTCACTTATCACTCATAAAAACAACTACACATTCATTAACCTCAATGCTCACTTAAACATTGACTCATTAATTTACCACAATATTCACGTAAACATTTACTCATTCATTCTTTACAACACTCAGTCAGCCAAGAATCCCCTCATTCCTTTAGAACAGCACTAACCTACACAAACAGCCACTTATTTATTTACCACAACACTCATATAAATATTCATTTTTTTCCTAGAACAATCACTCATTATTTTTTATTCTTTATTATTAAGCACATTACGGGAAAATTCCCAAGTAGTACAGCCTTACATCGTAGTTAACGTAACAACATTTATATGTGAATAGAAAGAAATATGAATAAAATTTACAAACAGCATAACAAGCAGCGTGCCAAGTGCAAGGTTAAAAGTAAATTCATTAGAGTTCGTGGTCCGAATGAATGGATAACGTTTTTCAATTAATTAATCTTTATGTAAGGAATTGGTTGAGAAAAAAAAGTCAGTGTCATGAGGGGGATTCGAACCCACGACCCTCGGCTAAATACGCCGCTGCTCTACTACTTGAGCTACCGTGACTTCGATCCACTCGGACACTAACTTTCCATCTCAACCCCATCTTTTCGAATTTTCTCTCTTTTTTTGCCATTTTTCAAATGTCGTGTTATCTATTTGATTCTCGGCGAAATGAAATGGCCACGGAGAGCTTTCGTGAAGATTTACTTCATTTTACCTATTAAGTTCATTAGAGTTCGTGGTCCGATTGACCGAGTAATGTTTTTCAATTCATCATCATTAGTATTAATAATTAATATTAATTTTATCAAAACCAATACCTTACATAAATATTAACTAATTGTTAAAACTAAAACTGGTGCATAACACATACAGTACAAAATATAAACTTAACTAACTTAGAAATACAAAAAAGATTAACATTCAACCATTTACTCGTTCTTTTACTACTACACTCACATAAACATTTACACTCATTTACCGCAATGCTCACATAAACATTTACTCATTCGTTTATTAAAGCACTCATACAACTAGCCATTCACTCATTCATTTGCCACAACACTCACATAAATGTGTGGTGATTAGTGACCGTTAATCAATATTTTTTTAGAAATCGTGAGATGCGGTCTGGTGTGAAGTAGGTTTCAGAAAAACATTTTCTTTATCGTGCCAACGTTTCGAACTTTATTGAGATCATCTTCAGGGCATGGGATTTATAAACATTGTTTGCATATAACAGTTACATTTTGGATGTGGAAAAGTGAATTTATACAATGCAAAATATATTTTTTATATATTCAATCAAAGTATTTCTACTCACTCAAAGTGTTTTCTTCTGTGTAACTTGAGTGAGTAGAAATACTTTGATTGAATATATAAAAAATATATTTTGCATTGTATAAATTCACTTTTCCACATCCAAAATGTAACTGTTTTATGTAAACAATGTTTGTAAATCGCAGGCCCTGAAGATGATCTCAATAAAGATCAAAACGTTGGCACGATAAAGAAATGTTTTTCTGAAACCTACATCACACCAGACCGCATCTCACGATTTCTAAATAAACTCACATAAATATTTATCCACTTGTTCACTGCAACATTCACTTTCACAACCAACCATTCACTCATTATATTAACACAATACTCACAAACATGTATTCATGCATTTACCATATCACTAATTCACACAACCATCTTCTCATTTGTTTACTAGAGCACTGGTTCACACACTCCACTCATTCAACTAAAAAAGCACCCACCTTACACTCATTAAGTTTAAATTAACCTTAAATTAACTTATTCGTTAAGTATAATGATTATTTGGAGATCGTGAGATGCGGTCTGGTGTGACGTAGGTTCAGAAAAACATTTTCTTTATCGTGCCAACATTTCGATCTTTATTGAAATCATCTTCAGGGCTCAAAGTATTTGTGTTCTATGTAGATCTTTGTGTGTCGTGTTGAGAGTGAGCTTATTTAAGTATAACTCCAATAATCTGAGGTTTTTATTGTGTGGGTTAAAAAAAATAAGTGAGTGAAGAAGTAGATTGGGTAAATGAATAATTGATTACTTAAGTTAATGAGAGGATGATTTTGTGAATGAATGTCTTAGAGAGTGAGATCACAGAAAAATAAGTGGGTGAAGAAAGGGTAAATGAATTATTGATTGCATGTGAAAATTTTGAAGTGAGTGATATATAGTAAAAGAAAGGAATAAGTGAGTGAATGAAGAAGTAATAGATTGTGTAAATGAATGAGTGATTTCATAAAACTGAGGATCATTTGCGTAAGGATTGTTTATTAATTTACCACAACAATGACTAACACAGTCATTCACTCATTCATTTAATACAACACTCACACATTATTTTATCAAATCAAACCTCTCATATAACCAAATTGTCACTTATGAATTTATAGTATTTTTTATTAAGTGCTTTTAATGGTTTCGTTAACACTGCGACTCATTCATTAAAGGATTTGTTTATTTTATCGCTCGAAGCAAATCTAACATACATTTTCTCATAATTAGAGTAGAATATTTTACGATATGATATTGTCAAGTGGTTTGAACATATGGAAACGTTATGATGTGAGAAGGTGGTTGTCTGAGTAGTTGTTTTGAAAAAAAAAAGTTTATATTTTTAAAACGGATGGTTTAGGTCCGACCAAATGGTTCTCTTGCACGAAGACACATCCTTTGGTGTGAAAGGAGGAATGAGCATAAATAAAATTAGCCGGAATAAGTTGTTGCACAACAAAGGCTCTCTGTAAATTCTTATTAGACCGTAGCCGGCCGATGAAATATGCCATGAAAGGACAATTTGTTCGAATAAAATTACAATAACAACCGCTCACCCCGCGCGGCGTTTCAGTAAAATATGGCCGCGTGTCAAAAAGCACGCGGGAGACGCGGTGAGAAATGTGGCCGGGGACGTCTTTTTTTACCTAACATCCAACCGAGACGGGGTTCCGAAAAGGAAAACCAAAAGCGATTACTCAAAAAACGAGTTTTCGGCCTTAAGACACGATTTTTCCTATTTCTTAGTTTCCTAATTACGTTTCCAACGAATGTTCAGTGTCAGGAAAATATAGGCTAATGATTCTTTTCAAAGCTTTCAAGTCCTTAGGTCGGTATATGCTTAAAGGAAGTGCCCTAGGTTATAGATGATATCATATTTATTTATAGATTCTATGGCCGTTTCATTAAGTGCCGAGCACATCAGCTGTATGCTATTTCCGTTTTAACTATACTAATGATTCTTTTTCTAAACATTAAACTCATATTTGCTATATTCAGAAACTTCAAAGAGAATTCAATGAAGTTTTTTCATCTCGTAAAGTACAAACGGTCTTAAATCTCCGCTTCGAACGTCATATTAAATATCGTTTAGTAATGGCAATTAGAGGGAAATATGACGGATGGGGTCCGCGTTTAAATCTGAGTTAGGACCCCTCCAGGGCCTTTTCCTTTCAGACGGAAACAACCCAGGGTGCCTCCGCCGGGGGCATATATCAAAAGATGGTGGCCGACGCAGTTTCCTATCGGTCCGCCCCTAATTATTGCCGGCGATAATGACTTATTAAACAGGGGTATTAAAGTGGAGTTAAGTTGGTAACTTGGAAATGATGAGGACTTACGCAGATGCGCTTCTCGTCGCAGATGGTGCTCCACCAAACTGGAAAGTTGGACTGCAAGAGCTGACAGTTTTCCCAGCACTGAAACAAACAAAAAATCATTTACTATATAAACATAACATTTCATATAAAACAAATTAGATTTATAATTAATTCATTAATTCGGCAGAATTTAACTTCTGATATAATTTTCCCCGGCCAGGAATTTTCTGCGTTTAATATAAACAAATTTCTAGGGTGGAAACACGACCTGGAAAATCTCAGCTCCCTTGGAATTATGTCATTAGTTCAATTCGCTCCCTGGGTGAGATTTGAAGGACTGCTTTTTTATCTTTGGGGTCGGGTTAATTGACCGGAGGAATCAAGGCGACCCTACATCATTTCTTACGCTCGTCATTTGTTATTCTACGGTGGAGTATTTCCTCTCCTTCTTTTTCAACCGAAGTGAAGTAATCAAAATAGTCCGGTCCCTCACAATAAACGTCTCCCACGAAAATGCCACCGAGATTAAAATTTTGTTGTGCGACCGGGATCGTAATTCTCCTGGGGAATTTTCCTCTTTCTTGTATTCTTTACCTTCTTTTTTTATATTATATCCCATTTTTCCGATTTTCCCCCAACCGGAATAGACCAAATTAATGGAATTTCTATTACCCACACTTCGCCAAACCAGGACCTTGATTGGACTTCGCGACATGAAGTACTGTACAAAAACAGCAGGAATTGTAGATAAAAAATAATTATTAATGAAACAAATGAGCGTGTGAGGAAGTATCAATGAATGCTTGATTGCAAAAGCGAGAATTTGATTTTGTGAATGATTATCACTCTCGTCTTTGTGACATAGATAACAGAGAAACAAATAAATATTGATTGTGTGAATGAATGTTTTAGTAAGTGTGATAACAGAAAACCAAATGAGTGAATGAAGAGATATTGAGAGTGTAAAAAAATGATTGATTGCATGAATTAGTGTGCGGTTGATTTTGTGAATGATTGCTTTGTGAAATAATAAATAAATAGGTGAATGACTAGGGAAATAATTGATTGCGTAAAGAAATAATTGATTCATAAGTTAATGAATGGTTAAATTTGTAAATGATCGACTTTGAGTGAAGGAAAACAAGAAAGAGTGAATGAAGAAGTAAATGACTGTGCAAAAAATTGAATGAGTTAACGAGTTGATGATTTTATATATAATTGTCTTAGTGAGTGAAATAACACAACAATAAATGATTGATTGAAGAAATAAGTGAGAATTTAAGTGAATAATTGATTATACAGTGTTTGATTTTGTGAATGACTGTGATAAAGTAACGCATGCCTAAGTGGTTCATTGTGTGAATGAAAGTTTTAGTGAGTGAATAAATGAATAATGATTAAATGAAAGAATATGAAATTATCGTATTAATGGTAGAAAATAAATTATTATGTGCAGTATTGACTGAGTTCGGTTATTGAGGGAGCTACGAAGTGAGTGATCTTGAGAATGATTTTGTTAAGTGTTGTTGAGAAATAAGTATAAAATAAGAATGAATGAATATGTAAATAGCTGGGTGAAGGAATGATTGATTTCGTTAGCTAGTGAGTGATTGACTGTGTGAATGAATGTGTGAGTGAAATGAGTAAATATATATTGAATGATTTTATTAGTAAGAGTAAATGATTACGTGTATAGATAAGTGATCTCGTTTTGAGTAAATGGGAAAGTTTGATGATTTGGTTGGTATCATTAGTGAGTGATGCGACAAAGAATTGTTTAAATGACCAATAGATTAAGCAAATTAGAAGATAAGAGCTTCAGTGTCACACATATCCTCGCAGACAAACATTTTCTTCTGAACTATTTTATATGAGTACATAATTAAATTAGTATTTGTGAATTATATGATGATGTTTGAAAATATATTATAATCATTGAATATGTTTAAAAAAGGATTGGGTTCTTATCGTTAAAAAGAAAATAATGAGTTTTCATAAGTTTGGGAAGAAATATTCTAAGTGTAACAATGTGCAATGGGTGTTTTGAATGATAATTTTTGCCATTTTGAAAATTTCCGGTTAGAGAGGAAATGTGACGCCGACGGCATCAGATAAGACGTTAATTTATCTCCGTGAATGAAATATGGCAAGACCACACAGACAAAATAATCAAAGAGTTTGAAATAAAAAAAGGAGAAGGAAGTAATTGACAGCTACCGTGTGGTCTCTTATTGATCACAAATAACAACTCGGAACAGGTGGGCCAGGTTTAATTTATTTTCTATTTCGTTTATCGACTCCTTACAGCTTAATTCATCCGAATGTTATCTTCGTTTCTCATTCAACAAATCGTCCCATGGGCGGAAAAGTCGGATCGTTGGCATTTTAATGAATATTGATGATGTCGAGCTTTAATCGTCATAACGTCTGCAATAAGGGCGTTTTTAACCCAAAGCCCGCAATGATCGTCGTTTTGGGTGATATATTCCCAAAAGGGAACAGTAGATAGTGATTAAGGATCGAATGTTGTGCCCCCAAAAGGATTTTACAGGTCGTAAATCCATGCGGTGGAAAGCAAATAATAACGCCAAGCCGGATTAAGAAGGCGCCACTATTATTCAATAAAGATCAAAGCAAATCCAGGGGCACTTTCTAAAAAGGTTATTTTTCAACGAGCACCATAAGAAATTCACGAGAGGGAGTGAGTATCAAAGCTTTGTGCAGGGCCAGGGCCAATATTTGCTGCAGAGGGGGTAATTTAGTTTTGCTCCGGTTTATTGCGAAGCCGACTGGAAGGAGCGAGCGAGAGGGTGAACGAGGGAGCGAGGGAATGTGACCGAGAGGGAGGATATTGGAAATGCCACGCCTTCCTCATATGAGGAACGTTGTCATTACAGCACGTGACCAGACGACCAATTTCAAAAACGTTTTTCCCTCCCGAACTCCCCGAACTGCTAATCTTTTTCTTGCCATATCAGAAAAAGCGATTTTTACAAGGCAGGCCACCGGTGGAAATCACGTTTAGCCCAGACGGGTTTTGGGATGATGGGAAAATATAAAAACCCTTTTCCGGAAGAAATATCTCGGATCTCATTGTATAGCGATCATTCTTTTTTAATCCAAAACATCAATAACAATACCATATAAAAGTCTTTGAAACATAAAAAACTATTGGCCATGAATAACTTAAGGACTTCAATGGGCAATAGGTCGGCTGTTTTACTATCAGTAACAAGGGAACGATAAACGTCAGCAGATTTCCATTCTTTCTAACAAAAAAATATATAATTAGCCATCTACCTACGGTGTCTATCAAGTGTTTTCCACTGTGCAATTAAATAGCACTATTATGACCCTCCTCTAATGGTTAATAGCTGTAGCTCATTACCTAGCTTCAATCTCTTTATTTTCCTCTTGATTGTTGCTTTTGAAGTATATTTGTTGGTTTTAGCCTTTCTTAGCGCTTTTAATATACTCTTCCTTATATAAAATAGGTAATGCGGTTTCTCGCAGCAGGACTGTGGTTAGATTAGGTAAGACCTCCTTGAAGACAGTGTAACGGATTTCTTGTCTAAATTGAAGTATGATACGTTTCTTTAATTATCCTTAAGTTGGTAGCCATATGAAAACGTTTTGAGGACAAAACTATTAGGAAGAGCACAGGCTGCTGAGGACTTATTAGGTTTCCAGAATTTGATATAAAAAGGACACTTGAGGATAGAACAGCGACGATCAAGATGAAGATTTGTTTTTAAATTGACTCTACTCAAGTAGAACTATGCGCTAGGTTGGGACATCGTGCCATGCCGGTTTCAGCAGTTAGCTGGTTCTCTAATCATTTTAGTCTGTCTGAATTTAGAATTTCCTTCGTCTTAACCAGACAGTTCAACTGAATAAAGCAACCAAAACCACGACAACGTCATAAAATCTCGGAAAAACTGAAAGTTTGGAAATGTTTTTAGTTATGGTATTATGACCTACAATTCTTTGGTTGAATATCAATTCAACCAAAGAATTGTAGGTCAAAATACCATAACTAAAAACATTTCCAAACTTTCAGTTTTTCCGAGATTTTATGACGTTGTCGTGGTTTTGGTTGCTTTATTCAGTCGAACGTCTGGTTAAGCAGCGTGTAGTCATAATCATAAGGTGAATGATGGAAATATGTGTTATTTCTTTAAACGAAGTATGCTTCATAAAATTGTCATGAATTACGCTTGATTAAAGTTTTAAAGTTTGGGCTTCACAGGAAAAACAAAACCGGTAGCACCACTAAATATTGTGGATATATTGTCTGGTTTTCCTTGGGAGTGTAAAAAGGAAACTTGAGGATAACCGTGATAGGCCGGCCATCCAAATTAAGATTTGTTTCACAAGTTACTTAACTGCCTTTTTAACTAAGTCAACCGAGTAGTAGTTGAGCTGTCGCTTTATTAACCTTAGTCTTGATAGCATATCCTCAATTATATACTCTTGATTTGTCTTTCCTTTGATCAAGACTTTATTAACCCTTCACAGTAGGGTTATGTGGGTTTTATCCGGACTTGCTGTAGCAGGTCGGGAAGTTAACCCCCAAGTTACCAATCGTGGGTGTTGATTCACCAGGTTTTTTTTTACTTTAACTTAGTTACTTGTTAGTTGTTGATAGTTCGGGGTACTCATTGTGCTTTTGCTGGTGTTTTAGTTTGATCTTTCTTTGCGATGTCAAATCTTGACGTAATGGAGTCCATGTGTAAGCCCAATACCAGATCTTGAGGCGTTGGTTTTAGTTGTTAGGTGTCATGAAGGTTACTAACAGAAGCCTGTCTCCTGTAGAATCTTTCATTCAAGTGACAGTTGCACTGAAATTTTATGTTGTTGCAGGAGAGCGTCCTATATTTATTAGAGCGTACTGACTATTTTAGTGCTGGGCGATTCTTTAAGCATACTTACAAAACCAGATTTGCTTCTCTTCAACCACGCCTTGGTCACACTCTTCTTATTGGAGTTGCTTTTCATTTTGCCTTCTTACAAAGTTATAGCAGCTACCTTTCTTGTGCCATGCACGCCGTACACCTTTTGTGACGCAATTCAAGAAGAACTGACAAAAATGAAGGAAA